GGTGAGCATGGGGGGTGGGGGGGTGGGGAGAAAGAGAGAGAGAGAGAGAGAGAGAGAGAGAGAGAGAGAGCCAGCCCAGTGGACGCTGCCTTTTCCTCTGACCCAGCCTCTGAAGTCACATACGCAAGCCCGCCTGGGCTCCGGTGGTGGCGGTGTGGGGCGGGTGCAGACTGCATTTCCTGGTGGGGAAGAGCAGGCAGGACCAGGCTGACCGACTGCGACCTGGAACTGTGAGCTCTCTGTGGCGTGTGTGCGATTCAAGTGCACGCGTGTGGAGGCGTGGCCGGGGAGGTTTGTTTCCTGATGTGGAGACGTGCGTTTTCCTTCTAGGTTGACATAGAAATCAACGGGGAATCTGTGGATTTACACATGAAGCTGGGAGATAACGGAGAAGCCTTTTTTGTTCAAGAGACCGATAACGATCAGGTAAGGAAGGCTGGGGGTCAGGGCCACTTCCTAGCTCCGCGCAGGAGACAGCGGAGTGTGGGTGGAGCACGCTGCCGGCTCCCGACGGAGCGGACGGTGGCAGCAGAGGAAGCAGGCGCTGTCTGTCCTGGCATCTGAGCCAGACGGGCTGGTGTGTGCTGAGTCCACAAGACTCGGCAGCCCGGCTGCTTCCGTGGGCTCAGCTTTTCCAGGGGGACAGAGGAACCCAGTCGCCTGGCCTGAACCCTGGTCCGTAGCATACAGATTGTACTGCTGTCAAACGCAGATGGCCGAGTGGTCGATTTTTGTCTAGTGAGTGACCAGATTGCTTGTATTTTTATTATTTTATTTTATTATTATTTTTAAAAATTCTCACCTGAGGATATTTTTCCATTGATTTTTAGAGAGAGTGGAAGAGAGAGGGAAAGAGACAGAAATATCGATGTGAGAGAAACACATTGATTGGTTGCCTCCTGCCCGCGCCCTGACCAGGGCCCAGTCTGCAGAAGAGCCTGCAACTAAGGTACATGCCCTTGACCGGAATTGAACCCAGGACACTTCGGTCTGAAGGCTGACACTCTATCCACTGAGCTGAACCGGCTAGTGCTATTTTTATTATTTTAAAATGTCTAACAGCGTTGTTGAGATAATTCTCGTACCATACAGTTTAGCCATTTCAAGTGCACAATTCAGTGTTTTTTAGTGTTTTCACAGATGTGTGCAACTATTGCCACAGTCAGTTCTAGATCACGGTCATCACCTCCAAAGAAGCTCCGTGCCCTTTCGTTGTCACCTCCCCATCCACCACCCGCTCCCCACCCCCGAGCCTTACGCAACCACCCATCTACTTTCTCCATCGATTCCCTTCCTCTGAGCTTTCATGTGAATGGGACCCTATAGTACGTGCTCCTTCACGCCTGTCGTCTTTTACTTACCATATGTGTTCCGGTCATCCGTGTTCTAGCATGTGTCGGTACTTTATTCCCTTGTGCGGCGAATGGCCACCTTTTGTTTATCCTTATATGTCAACGTTGATGGACACTTGGGCTGTTTTCCCCCTTTGGCTGCTGTACATTCGTGTACAGGTTTTCACATGGACATAGGTTTTCATTTCTCTTGGGTGCATACCTGGGAGCGGAATTGCTGGGCCCCACGGTAACTGGGTAACATTTGAGGACCTGCCAGACTGCTGTCCCGGGCTGCTGCACCGCTTCCATCCCCGTCAGCAGCACGTGAGCATCCCCGCGTGTCCGCATTTTCACCTGTGCGTGTGATCTGCCTGTGTGATCGCAGCCAGCCTCGTGGGTGGGAAGTGGTATCTCGTTCTGGGTCTGACTGGCTGCAGACCACAGAGGGCCTTGTTGGCTGGCCGCCCAGGGTGCCGGTGGGTGGGACGGGGCCGGAGTGTGTTCTGTCTCAGGCGATGCTCCTTTCTGTCCCCGAGAGGCGGCTACAAACTGGGAGCCGTGTCCTTCCTCACCAGATCGTAGTAGGGCCGCCTCCCCTCCGCACACAGGTGCACCCCTCCCCTTTTCAGTCAGGGGAACCTCCTTTTCTGCTCTTGGCCCAGTGTCAGCGCTCGCTCTGTTTCTTCCTTGTTCGGTCCCGGGAGCCGCTGGGTGAGAGGTCCGCCCATCCCTTCCAGCCTAGGGCTGTGACTCTCCAAGCACGTGTCCAACACTGAGAACCATGACCAGCCAGCTGTTAGGTCGACAGGCTGTGTGTGTCTTCCTTTTGGTGTGAAAAGAAGGACCAATATCTACCTCCCTGACACCCCCCTGCCGGAGGCACTCTTGTGTAGGCGGGCACCAGGGGCGAGGCAGGGGGCACTGGCCAGCGGTTCCCTAAAAATTATCATTGACAACTTAATTCAGTGCATATTGAAAACTACACACACACACACACACACACACACACAGGCTCTCTTACACACACACTCTTACACACACATGCTCTCTTATACACACACTCGCACTCTCTTACACACAATACATACACAGGCTCTCTTACACACATACACTCTCTTACACACACACACGCTCTCTTATACACACACACGCGCACTCTCTTACACACACACACACACACACACACACACCCTGACCCACACTGAAATGCAGAATTGAGTCTAGTTCCCAGGAGAGTGTGGTGACTCAAAGCCCATTTTCCCCTCTGTACTCTGGAGAGTTCCACAGAGTTGAACCCTGGCGCCCAAAGTGGCTGAGCATGACCTCACGTTGTTATAATGGTGAAGAGGCGGGATTCAGTGCAAAACGGCACTTAATGAATTCCATGCTGACTTTGTGACCTCCCGTGACACCGGGCAGCCACACCCCCGTGTCACGGGGACGTTGTCACACGGGCACCCCTCTGGCTTGATCCTGCTCCTGAGGCCCGAGTGCACGAGCCTCGTTGTAAACAAGACCTTCCGTCCTCAGGAAGTGATCCCCACGCACCTGGCCACCTCCCCGATCCTGTCGGACGGAGCCTCGCGCATGGAGTGCCAGCTGAAGAGGAACCCGGTGGACCGGGCGCGGAGCCTGGACCCCAGCG